AAGTTTATGAAACTTTTGTTTATAAATCATTGTTTGTAATAACTATTTGTAATAGTTGTTATTGTAAATTGTATTGTTGCGTTATGTGTATATTAAAACGTATTTGTGTTAAAAACTAAGACGGTGTGTATCAATCTTGTTGGCAAATATCTTAAATTGACTAATATATCAGCAAATATTTAAATACTAAATCCAAAGTACAATTTAACTACTAAATTTAAATTATCAATTAACTCGGCTTCGGACTATTCGAAATTCTAATACGTAACACCTCTTCAAAGAATAGTAAAAGAATAACAAATCAAACGTTTTCCCTATTAAAACCATGCTGCCTATCCAACATAAGTTTAAACTTTGTCATATGACTTTGTAAAGCACTTTTTGTCAGGCTATCAAAAACTTTTCCTGTCACTGATGTAAGAGTAACAGGCCTATAATTGCTAGGAATTTTTTTATCACCTTTTTTGGAAATAAAAGTAGTTAGCTACTAATCTTACCTGCCTACTATTCACGGACTTTCCGTAATCATCATATATTATCCTTCCTGTATCATACCTCAAAACCCCTACTCCCATTCTTAATTTATCTAATTGACCAGCTCTGTTGATCTTTTATATTCCTCCGAGTCTCATATCATTGTAGGCAGTTTTAACTTCTTATATTTTTAATACTTTACTTTAATTTTATTATTTATACCCTTTGTGAGTCAACCCGTTTTTTTTTCACTTGCAGCTACCCCCCTTTTTTTTCCTAGAGGAACATTTCCAGCTTGAATATTTCAGAATTTATTTAATTTTTTTCCATCTTTGATCTCCAACTAATTCAGTTGCTCATTTCATAGCAGATAATTCTTGTCTCTTCTTTTTAATGTTTGCTTGCTTCTTGAAATGTGGAACCCAAATATAATTTCTCATTATCTTCCTGTGCAGAAAAACATTAGCTCTAATTGAGAAAGGATCAGTTGCATTCAGATGTTCTACAAACTCTTCCCTATCAACTATTTTTTCATTAGAAGTTAACAATAAATCTAAAATAATATTGTTCTTGGTAGGTTCTCTGACCAATTGACGAAGAAAACTATCCCGAACAGTTTCTAAAAATATGTCCCCCTCATGATTTGGCTTTAGTATTTCCCAATTCATATGTCTGAAATTAAAATCTCCCGTAGTTATGATCTCATTAACAGTTGAAATCTTTATCTCATTTTAGAGTTGCTCATGAATTTTATTAGTTTCGTCTAGGGGTCTGTAACAAGTTACAACTAGAAGCTTTTTCCTCTTATAAGCATCAAAAGAAACTCAAATAGATTCAACTGAATTGTTATTAGTTTTGATATTCTCAACTTGTACAGGCTATAACTCACATTTTACATATAACCACTCCTCCCTCTCTTTTAAGTACTCTATCCCTATTAAAGAACCTATAGCTCCGTATCTTAAACAAATTCCTGTCATCAAAACTGTCGACATTTCAGGTTTTAGTTATTCTCATTATTTTCAAAATTATTTGTTCCGTTCAGACCTTTAAAATAATCAATTAAATTCTTATACTTTTAATATTACAATAATAACAGTTCAGCCTACCATTAAAATTACCTTTGTATCATGCTCTCACACTATAACCCTCTCTAAATCTTATTTTTGCTCATTATTCTGTCTCTCTGTCTGATCGTAATTTAAAGTTGTCCTTACTGTTGGGTTTATAGCTGTTGCAAACAAGCCAGCCTCTACCCTATTTGAATGTTAGTCATCTCTTCCAAGAAGCCCCCCTTTCCTACCAAACTGATTTCACGAATCCAACCAACCAATTTTCTCGTCTTCAAGTGTTAACTTACTATATGAATATACATTAGCGAAGGTGCATTCATTATTCTGGATCTTTCAGCACCTTACAAGTTTCACTGTACCAACTGAAAATCTAGAATACTAATAAAGAAGTTATCATTAATTCTTATGCGCAATACTTCATTTTTTGGCTAACGTTTCTTTTGAAAAACACAAAATAAAGGGATATATCTATTAATGTTGTACGCTATTGACAGACTGATAAGATAATTCAGTCCTTTTTAAAGTAGTTTAAATCACAAGTAGCTACTAAAGTTAAAACAAGTACCGAGACATTTCCTGAGTAGTTAGCTGTAATTAGGTAAATGTTCCCAATAATTCTTTCTTTATTTTACCACACTAGTTTGGGTTTAATAGCTTTGTTATTGCACAGTTCAATTGACACTTTCATTCTAACTTGTAATATTTTTGCCATTTTAGCCTATTGCAACGTATTATGGAATCCGAAGGCGTTATGAAAGAATTACAGGTACATATATCCATTGGCCAGGTGGACTGAAAGGTCCTCCGCCAGATATTCCTTATTGCGGCTTTACTGGAGATGCCGTTCACTGTCTACCACAAAGTAGGTTCATCTCAATGTCTAAAAACATTGTTTAAGTTATTTAAATTTGGTTCAATTATATTTTCTTATACGGAAGCTAGTAATTACTTTTTGCATAACAATAACGTTTTCTGATATTATACGGAATAATATCATACAAATTAATTTGAATTTGTTACAGACTGCATATTTTTGAAATCTAGTGGTAGGCGTCATTTAGCCTTCATTAGTTTTCTCTATATAAGCACCAGTGGAACACTTTATATAAAAGCATTTTAAGTCTAAACGAAATTGTTTCACTGTGGTGCTGCTTAAAAGATGACCCCCTTCCCCCATTGGCACAGCGGTATGTCTGTGGACTTACAGCGCTAGAATCCGGATTTCGATACCCGTGGTGGGCAGAGCACAGATAGCCCATCGCATAGTTTTGTGCTTAATTACAACAAACAAGCTTGAAAGATTTCACCTTTTCTTACGACTGCTTAAAGATTTTAAATGTCGAGATAAGATATCTGATATGAAAATATATCTAATTAGATTAAGTTAAGTCTGCATATGTATTAAAGTTCCAAGTTTCGCTCGCCTATAACATATAATCCTAACTGACTCCTAGAAAGAACGACACTTGGTAGCGATATAATCAAACTATTTGTAATGTAGCCTTAAGGTTTTACTGCCAGATTAGCATCAGCAAAAAGCATTTATTAACCGTCATATGATATTACTTTCTTAAGAAAACTCCCAATAGTAAAAAACAACAACAAGAAACAAATTCATTTTGGAAGACATAGGCAGACAATTGTTGTGATAGTTTGTAGTTGTATATTGCATGAAGTACGTTTCCTGGAAATTTGACAACATTTCGATATATGCTTTATCTAAGTCTCTCAGTGGCTCACTATACTTTTGAAAGCTTATAACGCTAACAATCAATTTTCGATACCCGTGGTTGGTAGAGTATAGAAAGCCCATTGTGTAGCTTTGTGTTTAACAACAATCAAACAAACAAAGCTTCAACCGGCATTCATTAGGACCTGATAAAATGTTCTACAAATTAAGCAATTACAGCTTAAACAAAACTCCATCATAAATCACTTTACTTACTAATAACCATAATAATTTATCCCTTAAAGAATATACGTGTGTAGCTTAATGGTCAACGTGGTCGGTCTGTGAATTCAGAAGTTCATGACCCTCGTCTTTTTGCTGCAAGAAATGCCTTCGCAATCTTGGGACATGGCTACGATATAAGGTTGGCTGTTCAGTACATCTATCCAATCACAAAAGAGTATCCCAAAAGTTAGTGGTGGATACTATCGACTAGCTGCCTTCTCTCTAGTCTATCATTTCAAAATTATGCACGAATATGCGCAGACAGCCCTAGTGTAGTTTTTTGAACTTTAAAATAAAACTCTTTCTGAAAAAATATATTTTTCCAGGAGCTTGTTCTCTACACCTTCTTACATAACTAATTTTTGATAGTTTTACCCTCTGGGTATGGAAAAAATCACATTTCTCACCAGAGAATGTTTTATTGTTAATTGCTAGATGATTTTCTTACTAAAGATGATATTCCATGGGGAAAGTTCATACTATTTTATTTATTATCATCATTCAAACTTACTTGCAGCGCCGTGGAAAACTCGAAAAGAAAGTACTTGAGCAAAGTCGAAATAAACAATCAACTAAGTATTACAGCTCCAGCACGTACTTAATGCATAAATACAAACAAAAGATTAAGAAGTTGATAAAGAGAGAAAATGTGGTCAACTTTAAAGTGATGAATATGATATTTTCAGTCTTATAGCAATTTAAACATTCCAATAAATATTACTCTCAGGTTCGATGACGAAAAACCCACTTTGAGACAAATACTGGTTGGACCTGATGATGACAAAAACCTTGTCGAAACGTTATACATTTGCTCTTATGTTAAACTGATATTAAAGTTTTTCTTCATTACCCATTGAAGCCGTCTCCAACTATAATTACTCCCCGGTGTTTCAGCGGTAACCCTGTGGCCTTATAACCCGCATATGGGCACTGCGCGGATAATCTATTATGTAGCTTTGTGCATAACAATAAAGTACCATTAAATATGCAAATCTAAATTCACCTCAAGAACATTTTACTTGACTATCACCAAACAATTTATTCATAACAAAGAGACTTAATGGAAATAGTTTGATACAAATCTAACTAAACTAAGTTATTCATACACTTTAGAAATTTGCTTACATCAAGGAAGTAAGTCATTAAAAATGGATTTAAGCTAAGTCCATGAGTACTCTAACTTCAAAATATTGAAGCTCAACTGTATATTTCTTTGAAAAGGACCGATTTGCATTTAAACACCAGACTGTAATGAGGATATCTGTTGATTCAGTTCTGGTTAAAATTTCTTATTAGTAGCAGTTTAGAAATGAAAATGAAGAAATATTGAATTACAAGAAAGTTGTATTTTAGCGTAAAGCTGCATGCTAGACTATCTCCACTCTGTCCACCGCAGAGAATCGGACCCTGGATTTTAGCGTTGTAAGTGTGGTATTTCGTGCATTTCTTTCTCACACATAAAGGCTTTGAACTAAGGATCACAATTCGGTTTGGTTGTTCTTTATTATACTGTCCGAACTATAAAGCACACATAGCCTAGATTACAACAGTAATAAATCATTCCGGGCAAGACTGACTTAAGTTAGAATACTAATATTCTGCTGCTGCCCATAGTAAGCTTGCAGGCCCCCCTTTTTGAACAAATGGGGCTATGAGTTAATTTGAATACAGAATACAAAGGGTATCTGATTCGAGGTTAAGAACTCAAAAAGAATAGCTTTTAATTACGACTTAAACCCTTCCTTACCACAGATTTATATCAAATAGAAGGTCAATTACGTTAAAGTAGCTTTTCTATTCAACCGAATCTTGGAGAAAGTTAATGATTATCATTACATGAGAACCTTTTCACTAAACCAAGTTGAAACATCAGTATTTAGTGAAACTTACCCAGTAATCATTGAAAAAAGGTATATTTTGAATAAATTATTTTTAATTAGTCCACATTAAAGTTTTTCTTACTGACATGTTATTGATAAAATCTATATGTTTATTTAGAAACGTGGATTGTAGAAATCATAATCATTGCTTGGTGTAATTATTATTTGAATGATTCCTTTAGGTTGGAATATAAAGTAATTTGTTTTTTTTTATTCAGGCTGCTCTATTCGTGCAAAGGGTACTTTGGGAGATGACTTGAGATTGTTGTTCATAATATAAAAAATAAGAAATGCAGCAATGTGATAAATAAAATATTATTAATTTAATATAACTGTGGTTGTTTTAAAATAGTGGTATATGAAGTAAGACGTGTTTTCCTTAACATTATGTATATTCTGTTTTTAATTTTAGAAAATTTTCCCGTTTTTGGATCGGTTGGTATCACAGTTTTTGGATGTTGTGTCATTGGTTCTATTGCTGGGATATTAATGTACAAGTAGGTATTGTTTTTGTTCATATTTTGTTTTGTTTAACAGAAATTTAAGTAGTTAACCAATGTCTTATTAAGTAATTCAGAATTAATAAAGATTAAGTAATTAGTCGTTGGAATTAGTCGTTTATCAAAATCCACCAGTTTCGATACACTCACATCAAGTTTCTTCAAAGGAAAATAAACAAAAATTAGTTTAATTTCTTATTCTAGCATGTATTACAATGAGTAGATGTATCCTGTAACTTCAAACATGCTGTTCAGAATTCCCATTTCGTTTTTGCTGCATGAAAATACAAAAATAACTCCAAATTGAGTTGGAACAATCTCGTTTTCTGCACTTGGCTAAAGATAACCATCTCCTTATTTTCTACATTTGGACTAGTACTTAGGCTGTCTTCTCAGTCCTCATTTTGTAATGTCGCTGCGTTTTATTCTTCTCAGTGAAGGGAACATTTTGAGGTATAATTTTCTAAGCAAGTGAAGTATATTCCCTAGCCATACGTAGTATTTACTTCTTCAAGCTCTAAATCATGTTAAGGAAATATTGTCATATCACACAGTTTTTCTGGTTTTGCAGATCCAAATTCGATGGGATAGTTCAGTAGTATTTGTTTCAATCAAACATTAGGATGAACTACTGTAGTAAATGTTTCTCCCAAAAATGTTTGCGTGCAAGTTTATATTTCTTGTTAATACTTTATATGAAAATAAACTTTGTCACCCAGAGTAGTGATTCTTTTCAGTACCACACCGTTACTTGGTTTTATCAATAGTTTGGTATGCTGCAAATTGTGTCTCTTGTAACATATTTTCACAAACATATATGTAATTTAGTAATCCCTCTGGACTTACAAGATTTATTAAAGTGAAAATAACTCCAAAATATACATATTAGAAGGACTATGACAGGACTAATGTAGTGAAATCTGAGATTCTTTATAGATAGCAAATAAGTGAAAACAAGAGACTGTTTCTGTGATGATTTGGCAAGTATATTGAAGATGAATATTGGAATATATGTTTAGAATATATCTTATATGTTTCCCTATAGCAACTATCATCGGAAATGTTTGGAAAGATGAATATTGGAATATATGTTTAGAATATATCTTATATGTTTCTCCATAGCAACTGTCACCAGAAATGTTTGTTTGTGTGTTTCCCAAAGAATTTAATATAATAGAACATATCTTTCCCGTAAGTTTTCTTTAATATCTACTTTACAGACAACATTGATTAATCTATAACTATGATATATTTTATATCAATTTATTTTATTGCCACTATGTGGAAACCCACAAAAAGTGCTTTTTAAAAAGAGTTGGACAATGATTATTAGTCTAAGAATGTACGTTCAAACACAGAAAAGGAGTCAGCATACGTCATTGATTTGCTAGCACTCATACAAATGATGATCAAGGGAACAAAAGTGACAGTTAGAAATCCCTCTGATTCATTTGCACAGCAAATGCTTTGTAGATTTCAGCCTTCAAATGAAGTCCACGTTGTACCTAACACACACGACATTAGCGAGTCAACTAAAACTGGAGAAAAGGACAGACGAAGTCAGTGGTAACTCGTGTCAACAGAATACCAGCAAGTATGGAGAATTTTATCACAAGCAGCAAATATAAGACCAACCTGTTGAACTTTCTTGTCTCTGACTGTGTTATAGAAATGCCAGAGAAACTCACAGCTTCCCAAGTAACATATCTTGGTACTCCTGATAGTAAGGCCATCGAGATTAGACGTGTAAGCAACAGATGGGTCCATCATTTGAATCTGACCATAAAGTAGGCGACAGTTGAACTTTCGTCCACTGGAACACTTTTCACATTCCTTCACTAGAAACAAACGTCTGATCATATTCTCTCCAGACACAAATGTTACAGTTTTATGCTGTGTCCACTTTGTTGCCTTGAAAGTGGATGAACTTTGGTTTCACACATTAGGAAGCTCATTCCTATATATAAATCCCCTGTGGGACAGCGGTAAGTCTTAGAACTTACAACGCTGAAATCAGGGGTTTGATTCCTCTTAAACACAGCAGATAGCCCGATGGCTAACCGGTTAACCTTATTTTAAAGCCGTGTAACCTGCTGCCGACCATACATTCAGTTTCTGGGTGTGTCACACGAACACTCTATCAGGCACAGGAAAGAAAAAAGCAATTCATGTACTGCATAGCAATTTTAACTAGGTAGGAAACTTGAGTCATTTTTGATCGTATCCATCTAGAATTGCTGTTGAATTTATGGAAGCAGCGAAATTGTAAATATGATGGATATTACGCTGATGTAGGAATAGATAGAGATGGTGGGGATGAAATGTAAAGTTAAGAGTTACTGTGCGTTTACAAACAGTAAGATTACCATTCATAGAAGTATAAACATGTGGTCCACTGTATTGCAATTTAACTTTATCAAAATATCAATAATTATTAGCATTTAACTTTTCTATATTTTCCATTGTATCGTGGATTGCTAGTTATCATACAGTAACAAAGAATGTACCTATAACTATGTCAATTTTGTGTTTCTAAAAAAAGGTATTTTTTTTTATTTTCCCTTCCGATCGAGTTACTGGTTAATGGCTGCCAGTTGCATGATTACTATGTTAGATATATTGGTGACAGAAGTGTCTAGCAGAGTCCTGGCACCTGCTATAGAGAGCGTTACTACTACTTTATGCTCATTCAACGTCCAAGAATGAAGCTATCATATAAAACAGTCAAACCTGCTAAAGAAACACAATCAATTTTTAGACCCCTTGAAAATAAGCTCATGGGCTTCAATGTATGAACGTTTTTTTACACCGAATCGTGATTACTTTTACATTGTTTAAACATATGCATTAAAGAATCTTATCTAGATCATACATTGTAGTCCCTTTGTGGATTAAATACATGACAAATATTATTTGACCACAATGAATACGTTACAGGGCTTTGTGGAGCAGAGAAGTGGCAATGATAATAACGTATCCCTCTTCACTGGGCATCAAGTTATATTCACAGTATTATAGTTGAAGTAATTTCTGTATAAAATGTTTCATTAGCTTCTGTGTAAAGTACTTCCTTGAGAGTCGAACTGTAACTTTTTATGAACACTTGATACAAAAAGTTTGCTTCGTAGTATCATTTTGAACTCATTATAGTAATGTAACGTGTTAAGTATTCCAATAAATAGTGATATGTACTGGCTAGAATTCAAAGGAAAATACAGTGTATTAAAACTGTACATATAAAATTACTTGTAGACGCATCAAGTACAAGTCTACGTTGAGTGAGTATTGGTGGAAGGTAAGATGGCAAGACATCATGTTTTCAGACAAAGTGAGTAAAAAATCTGCTACAAGCCTGCCGCTTAGTGATGAATTTACGACAAACGTGAAGTCTTTGGTAAGACCTAAGTCAAACCTTACTTTGATATATTCTAAATGAATTAGTTTTATGGCTAAGTAAAATCTCGTAACCCACCATATAGGGAAGTTGTTCTTGAACAAATGATACCTCAGTAATTTTTTTCTAAGAATTAAGTTGATTATAGTCTTCTTAAAAGCAAAGTTTTTGCAATTCATTATGTTGTTGTTTTACGTAACTAATATTGTAAATCATCACATTAACTTTAATGTATTTCTATTACTTAAAGATATATAAGTTTACTATTTTATCCCATGTAAACTAACTATGTAAACATTAACTTTTAATTAAAAATCATATTCATGTGTATAACATGTAAATATCATGATAAATGATATATAATGATAAGAATTAATGGAAGGAATTTCGCGATATCGGGAATTTCTGTTATATCATAAGTACCTTTGGAATAAACATTCGTATTGGCATAAATAGGTGATACCTCCTTGTTGTCTTTTAGCTGTATCTAGATCCTTGTGTAATGGAAAAAATGATAAAAGCAGAAAATTGTCGTGAATTGAATAGCTTTAACCATTGTTTTATGGCTGTTATACAATCCCTCGAGTCTCCAAACTTTGAGAACTGATAATATGACTTTTATGGAATATAAGTCTTACGTTTTGTCTGCATGTCCAAAGCTCATCACTGGCTGTGAACTAAAATAAACTGGGTTTTCATGAGTCACTTCTTCCATGTCCAGATAAGAGTGTATTTGCTGTCGCTTACTAAATTGACAGAAAAGTTTTGCGATTTTTTTCAATCGTTGTCTTCGACACATTGCAATATCCTACAGCATCAACATGACGTAGTACACTTCCGATTGCAAATTCCTTAACAGCATCATCACTCCTTGTTCTTGTCATTCTTAGCATCGCCATAGTACATCATGCTCCATTTATAATGCATTCCACTGACTGCTGTATACTTTGATATTAAAGATAGTCTTTATTACCATCTGTCTCATTGGCTACACGACGGGCGATTTTATTTCTGTCTTATCTTGTTATGAAATGAATAATTTGCTCACATCCTCTCTATGGAAATAATCTCTACTATAGTTGGCTAATCGCTCTTTTCTGTCTCTGCGCTATCCGTCCCTGATTTTGAAATGATAGACTAGAGAAAAGGCAGCTAGTCAACAACACAAACTGCTTACGCTTGGGCTACGAACTATTTATCCATCAATATTTAACTTCCACTTTAAAAGTGGACACACGGCCCCAAATTGCGGAGAGCTATTATCATTTTTGCTGTAATGGGACGCGAAGCATGGAACATTAGCTCCATAGTCCATCAGGCTGACCACCATGACTCGCTCGGCCCTCCTGTATCTGATCATAACATTATTCACCCGTACATGGCAGCTCAAATCATCAGGACTATTAATACTTTATGGTGATAATATATTGACCAGAGCTCTAGCAACAGCGATGTTGCCTGCGTTCGATGCGGATATTCCCAAGGGTGTTTATTTTCTTGACAAAGCACACATCTATATAATCTCATTCTGATAAAATATTAATAAAACTACAGTTTAACGACAGTCAATGCTTTTCTTTTGGACCCTTTATTTTTATCGAGTTGACTGTGAGCGCCACGTGCATTTCCTAATTTGAATACACTGCATGTATTTTATATGCAAGTGTACTTGCCTCCCGTTATGACATATAAAGTATTTACAATAACGTATTGGTACTCTGGGCCCGGCATGGCCAGGTGGTTAGGGCGCTCGACTCGCAATCTGAAGGTCGCGGGTTCGAATCCCCGTCACACCAAAATTGCTCGCCCTTTCAGCCGTGGGGGCGTTATAATGAGACGGTCAATCCCACTATTCGTTGGTAAAAGAGTAGCCCAAGAGTTGGCGGTGGGTGATGATGACTAGCTGCCTTTCCTCTAGTCTTACACTGCTAAATTAGGGACGGCCAGCACAGATAGCCCTCGTGTAGCTTTGCGCGAAATTCAAAAACAAACAAACAAACAAGTATTGGTACAATATCTTAAATACTATATACACAAACTAACCAATGGGGTAATCTATCAAATATTTACAGAAAGGAAGTTTTACGAGATTTTCCATGTAGTTAGTATTCACACACTTACATTATATTATACTCATACCTTAGATAATATCCACCCACACATCATTTATGGATTATTCCCACATGCATCAAGTAGGATGCTATATAAAAATAGTAAACGATTAAAAATTAGACTTAGGCAAGAGTTTAGGCTACTACCTATCAAAAGCATTTTCGTAAGAAAGTTTATTAGGTTTAAAAAAACAAACTCTAAAAGATATTATTCCTATTGTTTCAATTAAGTGATCAGCATAATACAGTTTCACATAATAATATATACCACTTCCTGCTATTAGTTTATTATCTGTTAAAAGGGTTGAGTACTTTATATTAGAACGATTTTGAATATATATATCAGCGTGTGATATGAAAACCACAGCCGAAGTAAAGTTGCGATGTATGAGAACTACATTCTGACATTGTTCGGTGTTTTGTAGGTAGGGTGGTGTTTTTTTGGGCAGTGTATGTAACAACCCTTTCCGACGCAAAAAATTCATACTTTCAGATCATAAAGGTGTATTCAGATCGGGAATTTATATTTTCCAAGAAGGGAATGTACCTTGTAATAAATGGTATTGTAAAGCAAAGGAATATGGATCAACTTGGGGTACCACGACCATCCAGAAAGAAATCTGCAACGTGTATCCCAGCCGTGGTAATAAAAGTGTGGCGTTTTGTAACTGGTGAGAATCCATGAATACAAAGGTCAGTGGTAAAGGCCAGGTGCAAAAGGCAGTATTTCGAAACATAATCAAGATGTATCTCCAACACGATGCAAAACACGTGTAAACAAGCTACTTTCACAACATATTCAGCAAATGTGAATGATACTTTGTCAGGAAAATTTGGCAGTACGTGGTGACACTCGACGAAGTGTAAACTCACACACCTTGAGAACAGTAAAAAAATCTCGTGCCATTTTATACTGGCCAATATGAGAAAAAGTCCAAAAGTTGTGCACGTCATGGTGTAAAACATTTTCGAAGGGATTCAAGATTATTGCTGGATAATAATCCATGAACCCCCCCCCAGTGGCACAGTGGTATGTCTGCGGACTTATACTGCTAGAAACCGGGTTTCGATACCCGTGGTGGCAGAGAACAGATAGCCCTTTGTGTAGCTTTGTGCTTAATAACAAACAAAAACTAACCCAGAAGCAAGTCAAGGATTAATATTGTGGATATTAAGGTCAAAGTGAACTATGCTTACTATCAAACCAATTTTTGGACACTTTTTTACCAAACATAAATACCGGCTTTATATGGAAACGAGGCCAACAGTGTATGGGCTTACAAAAATAAAGTTTCCAGTCATACTTCCCATTCAACCATTGTGTACCTTAAATAGCTGAATAATGATAGATATTAATTTTATTGCATATGAAGATGTACTGGTCAAGCAGTCAGATGGATCACTTACGGATTTCTGTGCGATCAAGCTCTTGATAGGGGAGCTAGGAAATCATTGTCCTCATACACTAGATAGATTATGAAAAGTAAGCAGGGATGAGTGGTGTGTTTTGGATATGATAGTCTTACAAAGGATTCTTTTGCAATAGAAACCACACTGCAGGACTATTGTAAATATTTACGGTTGTCAGACAGAGCATGACCAGACGTGGCGACATTGTTAGCTCCATAATCGTTTTCGTATAACATACTCAACTCTCTGTAGAATACATAAAATAACATTTATGCTGTACTACCTAATTTTGAATAAAGTTTGAGATGAAACATCGTGTTTCAGTCAGCGTACAATCCTTCTTCGAATGAAGTAATTAAAACACGACTTTTTCCTCCCTTAGTGGAATTACATATGTTAAAGTATGACCTTTTTTTTTCAGATGTATAAGCAATAAGAACTAGTACTTGAGGTTCAATAAAATAATCCATCTATACACAAGCATTAGCATGCAGAAAAAGTGAGAATAAAATTGTTAACTCAACCAGTAGTTTATCCCATAGTTCGAAATGGAACAATGGGGTATTATGAATATTGATTTTGAAACAATCAACTCTGTAAAATTTCCTGTAAGAAACGTTTACTTACAGTGCTAAAGAAAAAAATAACAATTTAAATAAATACCAATTGAAGCTCTGATGACTAACAACAATTACAAGACAAAGAGTATATGACGTAGCAGATCTGCAGAGTAGAAGTACAAAAGTGACAAAAATATATGAAACGTATGTTGTCCAATCTGACATTCTTTTGAGGAATTAATTACGTATTAAATGTACAATGAATTACATCATAAAATATGTAAGAATTTAAGTGAAACTAATATTTAGTGTATATTTTCAGCATAAAGAAAAAGTAATTAAAATTTTTTGACCAGTTATATTACCAATGGCTTGAGGATTTTATAACACAGTTTGTAGGAGCTATGTTTCAGATCGATCCAGAGATTTAGATTTGAAGTTTTGATAGATAAGGCTCACATAATTGTCACTGTTGCACTTATTGTAGTACCATCTGCCTTAAAAATACTGACAGCTGAAACTACCTTTTACCGATATCTCTATTGCTACAAGCAATTTGTCTTGTATTATTAGTTAAATATTTTGATCAATTGGTAATCTTACTTCTAGAACTTGTTGTAGTAAAAGCGCTTACAAGAACCACGAAAGAAATGGACACTGAATTTGAAAAACTCATGTAACGACAGATCATATTACTCAACTATAGATGAAAAGCTGTCTAGGATAACTGCGAACGGTTAATGATAGAAAAAAAAAACATCTGACAACAGCTCACTGGCGATCACTTGCCGATAAACTAAACGAAAACTGAGGTTCATATTCACTAATATCGGCACCTCTGCAAGTGGAATATTTAAAGTTAAGACTACGCAGCTTCGCAGAAGCTGCACTAATCAAAACCCCATATATTCGTAATTTCCTGTCCATCTTCTATATTAAAAGTAACTTACTTAGATTTCAATAAGAGTGTTTTACGGTATTTGTTCGTATATCATGTTAAACTATATGTATAAAAGATTAACAAAAATACCACATGAACAGATTACAGACATATTGCTTTCGCAATACTGCCCAACGCTTCAATTGTCTCAAAATCATTCCCAAGAACATTTGAAGATCTTAGCATGATCTAATAGACAGAAACGAGAGATTCTTCTTTAGAAAATTATATCTGTACGTAGTACATCTACCACACAAATCAAGTTTCATACTTTTAGTTATTTAACCATTACGTGCACTTTGAGTTTACTTCAAATCGTCTTATGTCCTTTGCCTATCTAACGTCTAAAACCACTCCTACAGTGTTTAGGTATTATGCCTAGTTCTTTTTAATCCATTTCTAATAATTGTAGATTACGAACAATATTTTATTGCATTTATTCTCTTATAATTTTTAGTTTGTTGCTTGGGATATGAAGTATTTACTGTTATTAATTATATATTGTTTACTACAAATATTATATTATATTATGTTTAGTACAAATATTATATTATATTATGTTTACTACAATTATTATATTATATTATGTTTACTACAATTATTATATTATGATATGTTTACTACAAATATTATATTATATTATGTTTACTACAAATTTTATATTATGATATGTTTACTACAAATATTATATTATATTATGTTTACTACAAATTTTACATTATGATATGCTTACTACAAAAATTATATTATATTATGTTTACTACAACTAGGAATTCTTTTGTGAAGCACAAAATAATCAGTTTAATCAGTCTTTGGTTCACGTTGTAAGAAAACCCCAAAAGTAGCGCAACACTAACTTAATTATTTACTAACAAACAAAAAGATCTAGCAACTAACGAGTAAATGCATAAAAAGTTATTTGGGATGTAATATTACAATATTTTACAAAAGTTTTGACATGGAATGAATCGATGAGAAAGCATGATAATTCAATAGCGTACATGAATAGGCATCAATTATTGAGTATTAGTGTGATATGTCAGAGTCTCGTCTTTTAAATTACCTATTAAGTTTATTATTCTATCAAGATATTTTTCTAATCAAATAAAAATATTTATTTTGTTTTAGTTTAGTGTTCCTAGGTAAAAACAGCCTGTTACACTTTGAAGTTAAGCCTTCAGCATTTAAAATTGAACTTTAAATATTTACGATTCATATATAAGTTTCTAATCATAAGAACGTTACTGTAAATTTTATATTTCATACGGGAATAGCGATGGAGATAAAATTTTGTCTCACGTCATCATATCGAGCTGAGGAGTTCTGACATTAAACGTATAAATTTCTGTGCAGTGACTTGTAAGAGAGAAGAAATATGGATTTCAAATACTGTTTTAAATACCTATGATTTAATATGTGTAAAAGGCAAATTAAGTGTTATGTGAAACAAACAAACAACAACAAAACAGTCTAGTATGCTTTTATCACAATACAATGGCGTAACATAAACCTGACATTTTAGCCATTATTTAATAAGCAGACCAAGTTTGAATTTATCAAAGGGATTCTTGTACATATATATATATATATATGTAGTATTTTTTGTCTGATTGATTAATGCTGCTTTTATTTTTGTGTCGTTACGTGAAATATATCCATTACCAGCTTTAGGATCCTCGGTTTGTTTGTTCTTAAGCACAAAGTTACACAATGGGCTATGTGCTGTACTGTGCTCATCACAAGTATTAAAACTCGATTTGTAGCGTCATAAGTCCATAGACTTACGCTGAGAAATTGGGGGGGGGAGCTTCTTGAGGCTCAACGATAAGTATGAAGGCTTATAATGCTAAAAATCAGTTTTGATACTCGCGGTGGTCAAGCACAGATAGTCTATTGTGTAGTTTTGCGTTTAAACATACGTTAGATGGTTCCTGCATATTGAAATTATTTTAGTTTTTTTTTGTTTCATGTCGATTCATCAAATGATCTTTATGGATATGCATTTATTTATTTATCACATAATCGATGGAAAAAATAAGCATAATTTAAACCATTACAGTAAATGTTGACTGTTTCAGTGCCTTCAGTTTTAACAACTTTTAAAATGAACAGAAACTTATTTGGAGAATCCCAAATAAAACTATGTAACAACTACAGCATTGAATTAGCATATCATCATTGTATCGATTTAAAGTTCTGTTGACACATTATCATATAAATGAATTTGAACATGTTTATTTCAATAAATTTAGTTTCTTAATGGGTTTCATTAACATACGCTGATGTCTTCTTCATTACTATAGGGAACTACCGTAACGTATAATTTGTAACCGAATATCTTTATATTAAACAAGATGATTAAATGCAACGTTTAATTTGTTGATAACCTCCTAAAGATATCCAAAAGTGTTGAGGGAAATATCTGATCTGAATAAGCACTGAAATTCTACGATCTGAACGAGTACTGAGCATAAGTCACAATTCAATCTTTTTAAACAGCAGAAGATTTCTTTAATCTATTAATGTAAAGAAACTTAGTTGTGTTTCTGTTAAATATTTTTATTGACTATATTCTAATACTTAATATATTTTGTTGTTCTGGTTGAATACAAGAGTTATTGAAAATATAAAATACAATACTTTATTTTTTAGAATCAAACAACATCCAACGCCAGCTCTCCAATGGAGGTAGCTGCATTGAGTGGTGTGATTATTGGGTTGTACAAGGTAAGGTTATCACTAGTGTATTTGCTAAATATTTCAGGTTGGGTAACCGGACATTACAAGGATGTGCTTGTATATGCTGTTAAAGCATGTATTAGGTCCAGGAACTATAGAGCAAATGTATTTCGGAATTGCGTACGTTAATTTGATCAGATGTGGCCGTCTTAAACGTTCTAAATAAAGTTTCTCTACAACAAAAATACACAATATTCATACACTCGAACACGGAATAACTTTTATGTTTAGAGTATCATTACAAACCATAAATACTTAAAATTTACTAAATTACCTTTCCTGATAAGATTAAGCAATAAATCTATAGTTTCATGAAATCTTCGATGTCAAATACTTTTCTGTTAAGAAGGTTATAAAATCTTTGTCACCAAATATTTTATTCTATTAAGGTTAGCCTTTAAACTTCATGAAAACTCTTTTAGTTTCGGCAATCTTCCAATTTTTTGACAAGATAAAAGAAAATAAGTTAGGTAAATCTTTAAAATAATTGTGGTTTTATTGATATTAATACAATAACAAATTAGTTTAGAAATTTTGGCCAAATAAATGTCCAAATTTAATAAACGGACAAGACGAGATGAGAACATTAACATTTATCAGTCTTCACCAGTAAAAACTTAAGAATTGTAAGCTTAGAAACTTGAAGTAAATGAATATTTCAACTGAGTAATATAAAATGAACTGGTCGGCAATGTTGATCCTCAATTCTAAAAGGAGAAAATTGGTAGTGGCTCTATTCGCTTCTGCTATAGATGGAATCAATGACAGTCATATTATATACGTATCGTAAGCAAGAATCAAGATACTCATTCATAACAAGGATATTGAATTTACTTTTGTTTGGTTGAAAATAACACACCAAGTTTATGTTGTTTAGCCGGAAATTTGCCAACTCGAACTACTAGAAGTAACACCTCTGAATGGCAGTGAGTTTTACCAAGAAAAATATTTCTTACATATTTTTTATAACGTTATGAAAAATGAGCTTTGTAGTAAATTTAAGAGCTTATAGTTATAGAATGTATTATTAAATTAAAAATATATTTTGTATAATCGAGATATAAATATAAATATTTATTATCTAAGACCGATAATAGTGAAATTTTTTCCATAATACCACTGTTAATATTTTCCTTATCAATTTTGGTTTTTATCTGTTTTTATTATGATATTTTTATTACAGAGATTATTTTGCATTTTTAGTTTAGTATATTGGTTTAGACAAACCTAACTTTCTTAAGCTGGCTGAATTACATTAAAAATATTATTGGGTTTACGGCCGTAAATATTGTTAACAACGATGGTACCCAACGGATGAAACAATGTAATTTTTATAATTAGCTATACTAAATATCGGGATGATTTTTATTTTTTATCTCACTAGATAATTTGCTCTGATCGAAGCTTAATATTAATAATTGCTCCTTCTCTCTTGTAATAAATATCGTATCTGGAGCTTTGTATTGAAACATGGGCCGTAACGCCATCTCCCAGGCAATATCCATCTCTCGAACAAGTTAGGCAATTGTTGTCCATATTCAAACCAATGGTGGCTGATTGCAACTTAACATCCACTCGGATTGGTAATTAACAATCTAGAATTCTTGATTCTATAATTTCATTCGAATACTGGAACATATAATATCAGTTCTCTTTAAGATGTGAAAAAAGTGATGTTTTTAAAATTCTTATCGTTTAAATCTTATATTGATCTGTTAGAATTATTGTTCCATTGTCGGAAAGAGCCCTTTTATTATGCTACGTACGACAGCTAGACTGACGAGAAGGAAGCCTAATGGTGGATGCAATAAAAAAAAAAAAAAGGACGAGAAACTATATTCTAACATTAGTGGTACATTAATGGGAATTTGTAACCGTGTGTGTGAGTGATTTGTTTATATAGACATTTTGTTAGAAAAACAACGACAACAAAAAAAACAAAAAAAAAAACAACTACTACTTTCAATTAATCTCTCCTCTTAGGGAAATAAAGTTGTGGTAAAACCGTTACGTGTTAACAAGCTGAACTTGTCTGGCCAAGTACTGATCGAATTAAAACAGGTAAGTTTACTACTGTTTAACGTTGATACATATTTTTCAAACTTGGGTTTTGTCAGGGTTTTAAGTATATATATATATATGTTGGTGTCAAGCATTCTTCTACAGTAGGCGTCTGAGACTTGTTGGTGATAAATTCGAACAATAAACGGACAGCACGAATTCCACTTGTTTTAAAATATTATATTCAAAACAAGATAAACGTATGCACAAAACTTCTTTACACTATGGAGATCACAGTTGTATCTTAAACACTATACATTTCTCTTCTTGTTGTGAAAAGTCCACTTAGGCGGATTCAATTACTGTGGAATTCAGTTGACAAGACGGAATAACTTTCTCTCTTTTAGCACAATAATCTCAGTGAATAATTCACTTACGCTACCTCGTGGGTTACCACAGTTGTATCCTGAACTTCAAATAATTGTCTTCTTTTCATCAAAGTCCACACAGACGGATTCAGTTAGCTCAGAACACTCTTTGTCAAGCCAAATTATCCTCATTATCTCTATAAAACTGTTAAACTCACTTTAACATATCAACCGTTAAGGCTATCGACTTACATGACGGCTAACTTTACATTTTCTAACTTTTCTCTGACTGAACTTCCCTTTCATTTGACTTTACTTTTACTCTGCTCCCGCTAATTTTGTCGCCGCTATTTATATGTTTATCACTGAGGTCTCCAGAAATTTCTATTGCCTCAAAATCAATGAGTTACAAACACAACTTACAACTATTACCGAGTTACGTAACCAAACTTGTGAAAACTATCGCCTTTAAAATAATTGCTTTTAATCATTTTGTTATGAAAAAACTAAACAATCATGAAATATTAACTCACAAAATAAATTCTATAATAATGCCTACACTAAACGGTCTTGTATATCCAACAGGTATCAGTATGTTCCTCCGTTTCATCTTCAAAGAAGAAAAATTTAGTATTAATGTAAATAACTGTATCTTTTTTTTTATAATCACTGAACCAGATAACAAGCTATGCTGTTAAGTCAGGGCATAATGTCTAAGTTTATAGGAACCGGAAAGGTAGGCTTCTGAGGAGTAGTAGTTCAAGGTAGAAAAAGTTGGAAGGGTAGGACATTGTTTTCGAGATGTTTGTGAACAAAAATGATGGGAAAGAGCAAATTAAAACTAAATCCGAACAGTCAAACCATTGCTGTATAGTGTGGGAGCGAAGGGGCGATTAACGCATGCGCAGGCTTACTAAAACGCACAGCTGCCGTACCCCTACACTGGTTATGTTAGACTGATGTCTGTAAGATATACATATTATATATGAGGTTTTACACAGTTGTATTCACCTCAACAATCACATAAGATAAAATAAGCAAGAACCAAGCAAAGTAGATTAAAAAATGCCGTTATTGCTTCTTACCAAAGCCTGGTGGCAAAGTAGTAAGCTTGAGGGTTTATATCGCTAAAATTAGAGGTTCGATCTTTACAGTGGACAGAGATAGTTCATTGTACAAGTTTTTACTTTACAATAAGCAAAATATTGTTAATTCCATGTTAATTACACCACTCGAATCCATAAAGTAATGTTCTGGCTGAAATTAAGTTATATGGCAAAATAATTGGTTGTGTTCGTGGATGAATAATTAACGTAGACATGAAAACTATTTTTGTTGTGTTTGTACATTTTGTATTTTGTTTATTCTGTAGATAGGAGAACTTAACCATGAAAACCTGGTGCGTTTCATAGGGATGTGCGTTGATGAACCAAACTACGCTTTGCTCACAGAACTTTGTATTCGAGGAAGTCTTCGGGTAGGCGTGGTTTCTTTACATTCATTCACAAAGAAGATTAACGTTTGTTTCTGAACACACTATTATGGTTAAGGTTACCAAATCATTGGAAACTGAAATCAAGTAAGGTGGCGAGATGAACTTTTGCAAGATATCTAATTAAACTTATTCATTGTTAAATTAATGATGTGCAAATCCTGCTTATTCAACTTCTGTTTCAGAATAAGAATCAGTTAACTTAAAGATTCAAAGTTATCTTTCTTGTCTGTCTAATGAACCTAACAATTCTGGGTTTGATATCAAACTTTTGTTTCAGAATAAGAATCAACAAATTTAAAGAATCAGAGTTACCTTTTTACTCTGCCTTATGAATCCAAGAATTCTATGTTGTATATTTATATACTAGGGTCAAATAATTCAGGTGTGACTATGTTTCAATATCCATAGACAACTTGTTTTATTTCAGTAACTAACAACCTGATGTGCGAAAAGCTAAACAAAAAACTTAATATGCAACAGAGTAAATGAAAAACAATTTCCTAACACTAAAAACAAGTTTAAACCTATATAACAACTGAATTAATGCAAAAACTCTGTTGGTTTATCAATTCTTACTTTTATTCCTATTAATTGATTTTAAATTTGGAAACTGAAGATAGACTACATTTGAAAAATCAAAGCAAAACGTTAAAATAAAATTTAATTCATACGACCATATGGTTTTGAAATAGTATATTGCGCTTATTTCATATCCAACAAAAATCAGAGTAGAGGAGAAGTAAAAAAATTGAATAGAATAAGATTTTTCCTTTCTCTGGGTAATCTTTAAGTATTGTCTGAGCATATTATCGTCCCTCCCAGTGAGATAGCGGTAAGTCTACAGACTTTCAGCTAAAATCTGGAGCTTAATTCTGTGCGATGGATACAGTAGATGGCCCAATTTGGCTTTTGTATAAAACAAATCCTCTTACTGTAATATGATAATTGCAAATGAACAACATTTTAAAGGGTTTTTATGGGTTGATGAAGTTATATCACTGGGCCTAATGGCACTTTTTTATTCTATATTCTAATTATGCCTGCACGCAAAGTAAATATGAATGTTTTGTACAATGAAAAAAAAAATAGGTCTAGGCATTTTTTTCCACATATAAATGACAGAAATAGACAACTTTGAAAATTAAGGTAGGATAAGTAACACCTTTAAAAAGTTTTATACTGATCGATAGCTTAAATCATATATATACAATCTACTCATAAAAACATTGTGTGAACGAAGCCTTTGGCCTAATATCTTACTAATGATAATTTTCAAATTAGAGTAAACTAGCAAAGAAACAACTGCCACAAATTAAAATATATTAACGAATTATGTAAACTAATATCGATATTATGAAATTTATTAATGATAGAAAAATCCAAACCACACAGTTTTAAGTAAGATTACCTGCACAGAGAAAATAAGTCACACATCAGATCTGAAAAAAAAGAAAAAAGATTTGATTGGTTTAAAACAATATTCGGTGCACCCAATACTTACTTCATTACCCTCTTCAAGCATGACTTTGTTGGACCAATTATGTCTCGCTTTCCAGTATTCGGTATTGTTAACGCTTGAAGCTGATTTGTTAGATTACGGTCTAGACGGGGAGCTACTGTTCACCTTTCAAATAAAGTCATCGTCTAAGAAGAGTAACTTTAGACCTAGCATAGATTGAGTCATACATTAAATAAGCATTCACATAAGTCCGACTAACAGTGAAATCTTTACGTAAAGAAACATTCAAGTAAGTCCGGCTAACAATAAAAACTCCGCTTGAAGAAACATCCACGTAAGTCCAGCTAACAACAAAAACAACTTTGCTTGAAGAAACATCTACGTAAGTCCATTTAACAATAAAAACTCTGCTTGAAGAAACATCCACGTAAGTCCAGCTAACAATAAAAACTCTATTTGAAGAAACATCTACGTAAGTCCATTTAACAATAAAAACTCTGCTTGAAGAAACATCTACGTAAGTCCATTTAACAATAAAAACTCTGCTTGAAGAAACATCTACGTAAATCTAGCTAACAGTAAAATCTGTTCTCTATAAATATTAGCACGACGACAAAAAACAAGAAAAATTAAAAATGGAAAAGTCAAAGGTAAGAGAAAAATTCAAATCTTAACAAAAAAAAAACAAAATGGAAAAATAAACTCGTGCTTTTAATTATGTGCCAGACGTATTATTCATAAATTGAACATGTTATCTCTTAATTTCGAATACCATAACAATTCTGCTGAGGCTTGATTATTCAACACATATTTATCTATTGCTCTAAATCCAAATGATATTATTATCCTTTTTTTTCAGTACATGTGATACGTAGAATTACATATTTTAAAATTAAGTAATGCATTTTTTAAAATAATTTCTTTCTTGCGAAACACCCCAGAATTTTTCTGACTAAAACTTCTCGTTCATAATAGGAAATGGGACTTATGAATATTGGTATCCCACTTTATCAGTCATGTCTTATAATTCGAATACATAGAAACTTTATTGAGAGATACTTTCGACGACGTTGTCGGTACTTTCCACATACATATCACAGTATTCAAACTCTCAATACTGTCATTTTGTTTTGATGAAAAATGTTGATGAAACTGAAGATATCCTCCTGGACACAAGCTAGGAGGTGTTTGAGGGAAAATATCAAAAATTTACTTACACACACACACACACACACATGCGTTTATTTGTATTTGATGCATAGAATTTTAAATGTAAAAACACTATAAGACCAAAGTATTCAATATACATAATTAATAAACAAATACATAAGACATTTTATATAATCTTGAAAGTCTTTAACTGTTAAAGTAAACAAAAATTATTAGTGGACCAATTATTTAAATGCTATTTTTTCTGAGTTTAAACGTTTCATATAAAGTTATTATAACATATGTTGCTTTAAAAACTGAACAACTAAATAGTTAACGTAAAGTGATATTTCTATTTCCTTGTTGCTTTTTTTTGCTCTACAAGTGATTATATTAACGTTTTTCAATTTCACTTAGATCGACAACTCTCTGCCAAGTTTATTGTTAAATGCGTAATAAAAAGCAAAAACACAAGTTTTAATATTTCACTACTTACCTTAATCTTGAGACCAGTAAACTTTGAGAAGTTTGAACAGGAACATTTCTAAGCGATTCAACAGAATTTCAAACTAACATGTGGTTAATACCATCCTTTTCCAGGCTAAAACAATGGTTATATACTGTGTCCTATATATGCACCTATGGCAGTGGAAGAGGTAAAGGCTTATCATGATTACATTCTAATATGAAGTTAACTACACGTTATAAGATCTGGGTTTAGTCTGATGATCATAATTACTCACTATTTCTCGATATTGCACTTTCCCTTATAACAAACTTCTACAATAGATGATGAGGTAACACATTTCATAAGCTTCTAAGACCACTTTTATGAAGACTGGAGGCAAAAAGAGTCTATTAGGGTTTTATTGAGGGACTTTCAAGTTATATGGACAGATGGGATTCCAGTTTACTCGACCAACTCTCACATGCAAACGGATATTGGTTTTGAAGAGTGGCTGGAAGTTAGTGAATTTATATCATCAACACATTCTTGTTCAGTATCCCATTAACGGTATTAGAAGATAAGTTGAACTTCACTAGAATTGTGTTTTGGATCAGAGGCTTCTTTTTCGTAACTACAGCCTTCACTTTGCTCATGAAAATGTTTCTTCGGATTAGGGTGTAGTTTAGGCGTCCTTTAGAATCCAAAAACGTTCTTGTATCCGTGGAGAGCATTGACGTGTTTCTCTTTCGAAATATTGTGGCGTTTAACTCTTTGTCATTTGATAATTTTATATTATGAATATCTATCTTCGGAAGTATACACACACATATATATATATATTTGTTATTCCATGCTTAAGGCTAACTACAGCATTATTGCGCTGTTGAATGTTGTGTATCAAGTATATAGATGCAAAAATATCGTCAAAATATCGATACCCCCCTCAGATCTAGGGGGACACACCACAGCAAGAGTTTATACATATAAATTACGATTGACTAAATGTATATTACAGGGTGGTCCAAAATTATCTTTCTTATTTTAAAATTTAAGAATTAAATAACTAAAGAAATACGACCATGCTGCTTTCAAGATCTTGTAGCAAAACTCAAACAGATTTTATTGTCATGTTATTTTTTTCACTCTAATGAGTAGTTTTACCCCGTAAGATGATAACCGTGCAAAAGAAGGCTCAATGCGATGGATTGGTCGGAGTGGGCCAAACATCACTCCACCAGACTTCTTAATGGAATCGTGTATCGCACACCTATAGCAATGATCACGGAGCTAAAGACCAGGATAACGGATGCCATCACCACTGTAACTGTGGACATGTTGCAGCGAACGTGGAATGAAATCGAATATATGTGCAGAGAGACATTGATGGTGCACATGTAGAAGTCTACTGACGTGTCAATGAAGACTGTTTGAGTCGGGCTACAAGATGTTGAAAAATGCATCGTTGCATTTCTTTAGATATTTAATTATTGTAATTAAAAATAGGAAATATTTTTGGACCACCCTGTACATTATCCTAATTCTTATATCTAGATATAATTAAGTTAACTCTATCAAGTAGTATAACTAATGCTGATAATTTGACTTTTTCAAGGACATGTTGGAGAACGATGTCATGAATATCGATTGGACATTTCGATATTCAATGATCAATGATGTTCTAGAGGTACGTTAATTTCACTTTGAATTATAAATGTAAGAGTCCTTTAAAAGTTTAGCATTGACAGTGCTGATAAGTTATACGTCGAGCTTATATTATTATTGTATTATATTATTAAACAGCTGATTATGTTGTGATCCCTATAAAAACAAATACTAAATCTTCTTGTACTTTGAAATATAGATATGCAGAAAAATCGTAGTGGAAACTTTTAAATGTAAGCAATCTTTAGTGTAACTGGAAAAAAGAGAGAAAAATATAAATAATTAGAATAGGAACATTTGTATTTAACAAACGAACTTAAAGCTACTGAACTCTTGTGGCTTCCATCCCAGACAGATATTGAGTTCTGTAAAGAGATTGGTTGATTGCATGTTTTTTTTTTAATATGTCTATTAAGTGTTCGATAAACCGACTTCAGTTAATATTACTAATAGGGTGAGTTATTAACTTCTGACGTATTGCAGGGTATGAAATATATTCACGACAGCTCACTTGAATTTCACGGTCGTCTAAAGTCAACCAACTGTGTGATTGACGGACGTTTTATTGTGAAAATTACTGACTATGGCCTGAAGTATGTACACGAGCAGATTGACTTAGACACTGAAATAAATCCACGTGAGTATCATACAGAGTTTTGTTACATCAATTTTTGTTTCAATGTGTAAACGCTCACTACGTGTTGGACACCGATTAGGATGTAAGAGACAACAAAGGTTCCGTAAAATACCAAACATCAATTTCAGCTTTACATCTTCGTTGATATCTAATTTTGTTTTTCAAAAGTTTCACTGGAATCGCTTGCATTAAAGTTGAACAGATTTGTAATTGGTTATTAAAGAAATGTATTAAGTTTGTAACGTTTGAGTTAACTTTTACATCAAATATACATTTTAACGCAATGAATAAAAACCCTATAACTCGAGCGCTTTCGAAAGGTGGACCTTTCTTCTTCAGGGGCAAACTAACGCAATAATATTCAAATATGGAATTGTTAGTTGTGACCAAATCACTTTTGTAACGTCTATTATAATGATAAACTTTCTAAGTGGTTAGAGTTGTGATTGGATATGCTTCCAATATATCATATATCCATGTTTTAACAATATCGAGATTTATGGAATAAATTCGACTCCACTAATGGGATCTTGAATGTTTAGTTTTTGCATATTCTAAAACAACCTGTGTAATTTGGTTCTGATGCAGCATATCATTTAGGTTTTCTCTTAACACACCGTGCACTGCAACTCTGAGTCTATTGTTCTTTGCTTCTTTGAATTAATTGAAGAGGCTCAGACTAAAGACAAGTAACATAAATGTAGTAAAAAATTCATGTGATGTTCTCCAACTAATAGAAGTTCAATATCCGGTAACATTGTCTTTCATTACTTTGTTTTCCACCATGCACAAGTCGGTGGAAATTTTGTTTGCAGTTAGCACATCAGAACTATGTTATCAGTATTAGGTATGATATTTAAAACATATCCTCTGGTAAAGATATTCTGTGTACAGAATGAAAGACTGGGAAACAAATTCATTCCTTTCAGAAACCCTTGCAAATTGTGAAACATTAGGAAAAATACTGATTTAACGACTTTCTATTGGTTGAGCTCATGACTTACAAAAAGCTTGATACATAGAATAGAAATTATATGGTTGGCTAAGACTTGTCAAAGATTATCATACTTTATGAGACAGATAGAAAGGAATTTTCTGATATTACCTTTTTGCCATGAAAAAGGTTTCAGATTTGTTATGTATTAGAATTTCAAATAACCTGAAATTGAGTTAAATGATAATTTAAATTTAGTAGTTAAATATATGCCGATATATCT